ACTGGCTGGCGATCTCCTCCGGATCCCACTGATAACATGATGGACGATAAGGGTCCAGTGGTGGTTCCGGCTCAGGCTCTGGAGCAGATGTCTGGCCTCGATGCGCGTACACAGCCTTCGGCAAGACGAGGTAATGGCCTGCAGTTAAATCAAACAAAGAAGGCACATGCAAGATAATAGTCTCATTATTTTTCTTATTAAATCTCAGGTTATATAGGAGCATTTTATCATCATTGTCAATAATAAACTCATGCGCTACCATGCTCCTGTAATCTAAAAAGGTAAGAGGCAGCAGTGTCTCCTCTTTCTCATCATGCCTAATAGGTATCTCAAAATGTTTAGCAAGGCGTGCAGCATAGGTACCTCCAAAGATGGGGCCCTTGGTATGATTCAGTCTTAGTCGTTTAGCAATAACGGCACCCATACTAAAAATGTTATACAAAATAAGGCATGGAATAGAATAATAATATCAGGAACACTGAGGTTTCCATAGTTTCCGTGACCAATTAAGCATCGACTAGCAAATATGACAAAGTAGCGTAAAACAGGAAAATGTATGCTAGTTATTCTTGCATCGGAAACCTTCCTAGGTTCCCCTACATCAATAAAACCATCCACATCTTTACGATGTGGTTCATCTAGGCTACCATCAAAGGGTATTCTACAAACCGTGCAAAAATTACGTAATGACATTTCCTTAGCCTCATCATATGAATGAAAAGCTACTGAAGGTGGTGAATTCTTAGGATAATAGTAAAAGTTTTGCACGAAAGTATTGGTGAGTAAGAGATACTGTTCGATATGGTCGTGGAGGAAGTCGGTGAGGCCCACATTTTCAGCCAAAGAATAAAAGTCTTCATAAATCCTGTCTGCTCTCAAGAAATTATCACAAGGCCATTCGCACGGCCGTACTTCCGCTACACGAGGAAGATTATACTTGGCATTTTCTTTCTCCTTAGCTTGTTTATCCTTGGAGCTTTGGCTAGAAGAGCCCCTCAAGAACAACCTCTTCATCTTTTTCTGAAAATTTCTGAAATTTTTAGTAACTTTCAAAATAAAGTGAATCAAACTAAACAACATTGATAGCAACTACTCCCACAAGTGCCTAGAACCTATATCATGCATTAGAATTACTTGGGACCTCATAAATTTGACATGCAAGCTCAAGAACAGGGTCACCTAGGCAGCAAAAATTTGCAATAAATAAAGTACTAGAACAAAAATTAATTGGACCATTGGAGGAGTCACATACCAAAGAACAATCTCCCAAAGCAGTTTTGTGAATGAAGCTTTGAGCAAGGAGATCGAAAATTGTAGCAAAATGAGCTAGAACTCGTTCTTGAGCTGGATGGGGATTTTTTTTGGGGAGGAAGATGGAGTGTGTGGGTGCAGGAATAAGTGGAGGGGGGCCACCATGGGCCCACGAGGCGGGGGGCGCGCCCAATAACAGTGGGCGCGCCCTGGACCCTCGTGGTCAGGTGCTTGCCCCCCTGTTGTGTTCTCAGTGCCTAAAATCCTCAAATATTCCATAAAAAATCATACTAAATTTGCAAGGCATTTGAAGAACTTTTATTTTTGAGATATTTTTTATTGCATGGATAATTCAGAAAATAGGCAGATAATACTATTTTTGCTTTATTTATTCTAAATAACAGAAAGTCTTGTTAACAAACTCATTCCGAATGACATGGAACCGGAGAAATTTTGAATAACACTAGGTTACCTCAACGGGGATATGAACATCCCCAATAATAAGAATATCATATATTTTTTTCTTGACAGTAGGAAGAGGAAATTCAAAACCTCCAATAATTATAGTTAGAACTTTTCCAATAGAATTGATGCTATGAACTTGAGGTTGTTTCCTCGGAAAGTGTACCATATGCTCATTACCATTAACATGAAAAGTGACATGGCCTTTGTTGCAATCAATAACAGCCCCTGGAGTATTCAAAAAGGGTCTACCAAGGATAATCGACATACTATCGTCCTCAGGAATATCAAGAATAACAAAGTCCGCTAAGATAGTGACATTTGCAACCACAACAGGCACATCCTCACAAATACCGACATGTATAGCAGTTGATTTATCAGCCATTTGCAAACATATTTCAGTAGGTGTCAACTTATTCAATTCAAGTCTACGATATAAAGAGAGAGGCATAACACTAACACCGGCTCCAAGATCACATAAAGCAGTTTTAACATAGTTTCTTTTAATGGAGCATGGTATCGTTGGTACTCCTGGACCTCCAAGTTTCTTTGGTATTCCATCCTTAAAAGTATAATTAGCAAGCATGGTGGAAATTTCAGGTTCCGGCATCTTTCTTGTATTTGTAATAATATCTTTCATGTACTTAGCATAAGGGTTCACTCTAAGCATATCAGTTAAGCGCATACGTAAGAAGATAGATCTAATCATTTCAGCAAAGCGCTCAAAATCCTCGTCATCCTTTGTCTTGGATGGTTTGGGAGGAAAGGGCATGGGTTTCTGAACCCATGGTTCTCTTTCTTTACCGTGCTTCCTGGCAACAAAATCTCTTTTATCATAACATTGATTCTTTAATTGTGGGTTATCGAGATCAACAGCAGGTTCAATCTCTACTTCATTATTATTGCTAGGTTGAGCATCAAAATGAACATTATCATTAACATTATTGCTAGGTTCATGTTCATCACCAGATTGTGTTTCAGCATCTGAAATAGAAATGTCATTGGGATTCTCAGGTGTGTCTATAACAGGTTCACTAGAAGCATGCAAAGTCCTATCATTTTTCTTTTTCTTCTTTTCAGAAGGACTAGGTGCATCTAAATTATTTCTCTGAGAATCTTGCTCGATTCTCTTAGGGTGGCCTTCAGGATACAAAGGTTCCTGAGTCATTCTGCCAGTTCTAATAGCCACTCTAACTGCAAAATCATGTTTATTATTTAATTCATCGAGCAAATCACTTTGAGCATGCTCTGCTTGAGTGGTAACCATAGAAGCATATTTCCTAATGAGTTTAAGTTCACCATTAACTCTAGCCATATAATCACTCAAGCGTCCAATCATGAAAGCATTATTCTTTAATTCTCTACCAACATAAGCATTAAAACTTTCTTGTCTAGCCATAAAATCATCAAATTCATCCAAACATTGGCTAGGAAATTTAGTAGACGGGATATCAACCTTATCATATCTATAGAGAGAATTTACCTTTACTACCTGTGTCGGGTTATCGAGACAATGTGTTTCTTCAATAGGTGGTATATTAAGACCATGTATTTCTTTAATAGGAGGTAAATTCTTAACATCTTCAGCTTTAATACCTTTTTCTTCCATAGATTTCTTTGCTTCTTGCATATCTTCAGGACTGAGAAATAGAACTCCCCTCTTTTTCGTAGTTGGTTTAGGAATTGGCCCAGGAGTTGGCTCAATTGGCTCAGGAGGAGTCCAACTATTTTCATTAGTCAACATATTATTCAATAACAATTCAGCTTGGTCGACTGCTCTTTCCCTGAAAACACAACCAACACAACTATCCAAGTGGTCCTTGGAAGCATCGGTTAGTCCATTATAAAAGATATCAAGTATTTCATTTTTCTTTAAGAGGATGACCAGGAAAAGCATTAAGTAATCGGAGAAGCCTCCCCCAAGCTTGTGGGAGACTCTCTTCTTCGATTTGCACAAAATTATATATTTCCCTCAAGGCAGCTTGTTTCTTATGAGCAGGGAAATATTTAGCAGAGAAGTAATAAATCATATCCTGGAGACTACGCACACAATCAGGATTAAGAGAATTAAACCAAGTTTTAGCATCACTCTTTAATGAGAATGGAAATATCTTAAGGATATAATAATAGCGAGAATTCTCATCATTAGTGAACAGGGTGGCTATATAATTTAACTTAGTAAGATGTGCCACAACAGTTTCAGATTCATTGCCATAAAAAGGATCAGATTCAACCAAAGTAATAATTTCAGGATCAACAGAGAATTCATAATCCTTATCAGTAACACAGATAGGTGAAGTAGCAAAAGCAGGGTCATATTTCATTCTAGCATTCAGAGATTGTTGCTTCCATTTAGCTAATAACTTCTTAAGATCATATCTATCATTGCAAGCAAGAATAGCTCTAGCAGCTTCTTCATCCATAACATAACCCTCAGAAACAATAGGCAATTCATACTTAGGGGGAGAACCTTCATCATCACTATCATTAATAATTTCATCTTCAATACTTTCATTCTCTCTAACCCTAACAAGTTGTTCATCTAGATATTCACCTAATGGCACAGTAGTATCAAGCATAGAAGTAGTTTCATCATAAGTATCATGCATAGCAGAAGTGGCATCATCAATAACATTGCGACATATCAGAATTCAAAGCAGTAGCAGGTTTAGGTGTCGCAAGCTTACTCAAAACAGAAGGAGAATCAAGTGCAGAGCTAGATAGCAGTTCCTTACCTCCCCTCGTAGTTGAGGGAAAAATCTTAGTTCTTTCGTCTTTAAAGTTCCTCATAGTGATCAGCAGATATAAATCCCAAGTGACTCAAAGAATAGAGCTATGCTCCCCAGCAACGGCGCCAGTTATTGATATCCACTCTCTCCTATTTGTTTAATTTCTCTAACTTTGACTATATTTTTAAATCTTGACTAAAATTCTATCGAGAATCAACGTATACAATAGCAAATCATTATTATTAAATTTATATGAAATATATTTTCATATATCTACTATTTTAGATGTTGATATACTTTACTACTCCCTTCAACCCAAATAAGTGTCACGGTTTTGAAATAAGGTTACTTAAAACCTTAGTACAAAACCACAACATTTATTATTTATAATGGACAGGAAGGGGTACTAAAAACTTGGTCAAACATAGAAATTTAAAATTTTGAAAAAGTACTACAACTTATATTTTGAAATGAAAGAAGTGGAATGGATTTATTTGACCGTCGTTTTAGTGTAAACTTATATTTACGAGGTCATTTACCAGTGCCAGTAAATTCGTTCTAATAGTTACCAGTGGCGTGCAACACTATCGTCTCAATGGAAATTCCCGGTCCAAGCCCCAGTAGCACACCCAGGCCGTCACGTCCAACCCCATGTTCTCCCTGTCGCCGGCGTATCTCGTCGAGCACAAAGATCACCGTCGGCCCGGACATGTTCCCGAACTCGCTCAGCACATGGCGGCTCGCCGCCAGCTTCTCGGGGTCCAGCCGGAGCACTGCCTCCACACCGTCCAAGATTGCTCGCCCCCCTGGATGCACCGCCCAGAAGAGACGGTTCCAGCCACCGCTCAGGCCGAGCGGCCCCAACGCGTCTACCAGGCACTGCTCGACGTTCTCGCGAATCAGCGTTGTCATCTCGACGGCGGGGCGGAAGAGGAGCCCGTTTTCGCTGAGCCGTCCAGCCGCGGCGTGCTCAGACTCCGGTATCACGGTCTGTGACGTGGCCACCATCTCGAAGATCGGGCGCTCGACGGAGCCGCGGTTCGCATCGGCACCGACGATCACGGCGCCCGCGCCGTCGCCGAACAGGGCCTGCATGATGAGCGTGGCCTTGTCGGCCTCGTCCTCGGGGGCGCGGAGCAGGATGAGAGTGAGCTCGGCGCAGACCACGAGGACACGTGCGCCGCGGTTGTTCTCGGCGATGTCCTTGGCGACACGGAGCGCGGTGGAGCCGCTGTTGCAGCCGTTGAGGTAGAGCATGGTGCGGGGGACGGAGGGAGCGAGGCCGAGGAGGGAGGCCAGCCGGAGGTCGGCGCCCGGCATGTGCGCGCCGCAGTAGGTGCTGACGACGAGGTGGGTGACGTCGGTGGCCGGGCGCCCCCACTCCGCGATGGCCTTGGTCGCGGCCGCTACCGCCAGCTCCGGAACGGCGGTGGCGGCAATGGCCATCCGGGTGTCCAGGGACGGCAATGTCCGGTCTATAAGCTCAGGGTGGTCTCGCAACATTTCCTCGGTGTGGTGAAAGTAACGCTTGTTGATGGCCGAGCTTTTACCTGAATATAAAACATGTTAGGATGAACAATTTTGCTAAGTCTCAGCATGCTATATTCGTGAGAGACTACATGAAGATCCATGCTTTTTTATTTCTATTTTCTTTTTCTTTTTTCATATTATGTCACTTGACTGAGATTTGATTGTATCTCGGTCGACGGAGACCCAACTATACCCTACCATGAAGGAATGGAAACAAACAAGATAGAACCTCTCCGAGGGCAAGAGCTTTAATACTAATAACATACAGATTCTGTGGAGCTTGGATTTGAGTTTGGTGAGGTGCTCTCTGTTGATGACACCGAAGTAGTAGTCGGCGTAGTCGTCCTGCCGCACGCAGTTCGCCGGGTTCGCCGTGCCGATGGCGAGCACTGACGCGGGACCATCGGCGCGCTGCGCCTGCCGGATCTGCCGGATGCCGGTGGCCGCCGGACTTGCCGTGAGGTTCCCGAGCAGTACCATCTTGCTCTCAGCCGTGAGAACTGGTGTCCTGCTTGGACAGTCAAGGCTGAAGAGTACCGGTGGAACGGCCAGTGTGTGGTATTAAGTACTGAGACAAGATGATCACCTTTTAGACCCTGTCACGTGAATTTCATGTTATCGGATATATGCTGTTTAGTTGGAAGTTGGCCACCTTTGTTCAGCTTCCAGTTCGTTGTGGTATTTAAGAAGTTGGTTCTGACGAGGGGAGGGCGTAAATCAAAAGTTTGGTAACTTTTTCCGAGGTTGGCAATGAAATTAGCAAGCAACCAATCTCTAGCCAATATTTGGCAGTTGCCAAAATTTGGCATGTCAATTTTTGGCATCAAACCAATTATGCTCTAAGGCCTTGTACAATGGAACATGCTCAGGGAGGTGTTTAGAAAAATAAACCGAGTTTTTTGAAGCACCGGTGTCTATTTCTGCAGAAGAGACGCTTAGTTAAGCGTCTATCATGTACAAATAAACACCTTGCATTGTACAAGGCTTAAGCGCATCTCCAACAGCCGCGCAACGCGCGGCGCGCTAAAAACTGGTTTCCGGCGCGCCCATCGTCAGGTTTGACGCGGCGCACAACGTTGGCTCCAGCAGCCGCGCTAAAATACAGCGCGCGCGCAGCTCCAGCAATGCGCTAAAATGTAGCGCACGCGAGTCACATTTGTTGCATTTTGGACACAAAATAAATTTCGCACATCACAAAATAAAGGCATGTCACATAATTTAAATCACAAACAAGTTTGCGGCGGGCGCCGGCGCGACGCCACCCGCCACTGAGGTCATCCGCGGCGGCATGAAGAGGCCGTGCGCGATGCCGGTGCTCGGAGGAACTCCGGCGAGGGCGAAGCCAAAGCTCACCGCGCTAGGGTTTGCGGTGGCGGCGGTGGCGGAGTGGTCGCGGCTGTAGGAAGGGTGAGGGGGGTGCCGGCGCGGGCGTCCATCAGGCAGTTCACCGGCGGCGGCGCGCGTGGAGCCATGGTGGCGCGGCGGAGAGAGTGCGGCGCGAGTGCTCGAGTGTGCCGCGCCCGGAAGCGGGCGCACCAAATACACAGCGCGCGATGGTGAATCGGACCGCGCGCCCAACTCTATATGCCCCGCGCGCGTTTATTGCGTGTCCGCTGGAGCCACTCTACCGCTTGCGCGCGCGCTAAAAAGGCCAAATTTGCGGGGCGCTCATTTTGCGTGGCTGTTGGAGATGCTCTAAGGGCACTGCATTACAACGGGAGAAGAATAATAATAATTTATAATGGCCATGGCCACATTTTGCTGCATCATCGAGATATATTATCATCATAAATTTCGTGAAATCATGAACATTTTTTTTGAATTCACGAACACTTTAAAAAAATTCAAACATTTCTAAATTCGGAAGCAATTTTTGAATTCATGAACATTTTATACTATTTGCCATTTTTAAAGAAATTGTGAACATTTTTTAAACAATTTTCTTGAGTAAGTGAACATTTTTTTAAATTGGTGGAACAACTTTTGAAATTCACGATAATTTAACGAACATTTTTCAATGCATGATAATTTTTTGAATCAGCAAACATTTTATGAATGAATAAAATATTTTGTAACTCACGAACAATTTTTTAATTTTTAGGATATTTTCCGTCCATGAACATTTTTTGAATTGGAAAAAATTTGTTCAATTTCATTAACATCTTTTAATACATAAACTTTTTTAAAAAAAACGTGAACATTTTTAATTCCCAAACATTTCTTTTGAAAATTTCGAATTTGTTTTGAATAAGCAAACCTTTTTTACAAAATCGTGAACATTTTTTGAATCCACAAACATTTTATCATTTACTATTAAAAATTTTATTTTTAATTCTCAATTTTTTTTATTTTTTAGAACTTTTGAAGTTCCGAATTATTTAAAGAACGAAAACGGGAAAAAGGAACAAAAAATATAAAACGACATTTTGAAAACAGGCCGCCCGGACATGGGCCAGCCCAAACGGGCATGCTTCGCCTTCTGCCAACACACATAGCGGATTATAGAAGGTCCCTACTACTCCCTCCGTCCGAAAATACTTGTCGGAGGAATGGATGTATATAGACGCAATTTAGTTCTAGATACATCCATTTTCATCCATTTCTTCGACAAGTATTTCCGAACGGAGGGAGTACATTGGCCGGCCCAGGCGGGGTATTTCCCTATGCGAAACAATTTTTATCACTGCATTGGTGGGTAATATTTTGCTACTTTGGGGGCAATTTCTGCGACGTACCGCCAGAAGCAATAGCCCTTTTATTATTAGGTAAGATAAAAGTTGTGAGGAGTGTGGAAAAAAATACTCAACGTTAATGTATCTCATGTTACAAAAATTCAGATCCAAACTCACCATATGCATGTAGCTTGAGAGAAAATGAAATAGCAACTACATAGGCTAACTAGATTCTCTTTTGAAGGTTTAACCACTCAAAATTTTTGAGGGGAAGTGCCCCTCTCTTCTTAAATTCAAGCAGTCGAATGAAATCTCAAACAAAAGAATCCTCGCCCGCAACTCCTCGCTCTCGGCCTCGTTCATATGGGTAGCCCCTCCACCCTTACCCCCCCCCCAGGCGGGTCTGTCAACCTCCCACCCCACCTTTGCTATGCTCGCCGGCCACCAATGCCGCACGATAGTATTCAACTCGAGCCATCATGTTGCCTCATTTTTTGCTGCGGAAGGAACTGTTGGGGGAGCCGGGAGCACTTTGTCGTAGAGCACCCATGCCCGAGCTTCCAAGCGCCGAAACTGAGCGACCACGGCCTTCCTTGGCACCATGTAGGGGCACGACTTGGTCGAGAATCAAGCTTGTCAACACCTACATGCCTTGCCTGTTGCCGCGCCGACCACCCGTAGCGGTAGTGGATCCAACCCAATGTGCCACAGTGGGCCAATAGTAGAACTGTTCATACAAAATTGTTTTTCTAGACATTTTTAACTTTTTCTACAATTTTATAGAGCTATGGGAAAAATATCAGGCTGGGTCATGGCCCACTCTGTCCACCCTCTAGCTCCTCCACCGCCCGCAGACGTGACGTTGCAGCAACACTACCGCAGCTCTCGCCTCCCCCACTCGCATAAAGTATTCAAGGAATTGCCAAGGCAATTTCTTCCATATTCTTTTTTTTTTGCTATTTTTGAATACAAATTCATCACTCTATATTCAATTTGCTACATGAAGAGATTGCGGGAGATGTAACTCGACGACTCTTAGTCGGAGGGGGAGGAAGCGAATGATGAAGATTTTGAGATGGCCATTATCGTGACCGTCCGAGAGGAAGAAGAGGTGAGCCCGAGATGAAAATCTCAATTTGGCCACATGTGTATCAATCAAGACAGGGAAGAAGGCCATGCCAAACTTTCCAAGGGTTACTTTCCGCCCAATTCAACAAATTCAGAGGAGAATTTTCGACGGTGATTTTGGATGCATCGGGATCTCTTCAACACCATTGTAAGATCTGTTGAGGACCATGATAATTGGTTTTCATTTAGAACGAATTCAACGGGAGAATTTAGTGCAAGTTCATTTATGAAGTGTACCATGACACTAGTACAGAATCGGGCTTTGCAGACAATTTTCGTACATGGGATGTGGGCGGTTGTGAGATCCGCCTCAAAGCATGTGTTGCTATTAGACGGAACAGTGCATGTGGTTTCTAAAACTGTCTGCACTGAATCTCCACCCTGAAGCGGTTTGCATATGTAAACCGCCTCCAATGCTTCCAAGCCTGGGTGGTTTCGTTCACACAACCGCCTCCATTACCATTTTCTGGGGTACATATTGTTCATGTTTTGTTACTAGACCTACAAATGAAATTGACAGACAAACATGATTCACCAGCATACAACATTCATTTGCATAAGCAATTTGGTTTTACACAACATACATGCATATAATTGGAGTTTCAAGCCAAGATGTACAATTACAAAGTATATTGTGTTGTGCTTATACTACATCCTCATCTCAAATAGTTTACCCGTCTCGGCTCTTCACGCGGTTACCACTATGTTTTGGTACAAGTCTTTTGTGATGTGCATAAACTATGCACATTAATGAAGCTGCATGGTAGAGGACTTAAGGGCGTGTTAGATAGCCTGCATGAGACTGCATGTTCCCTACTCGACCCATGTTTTTGTTGGGGAACATAGTATTTCAAAAAAAATCCTACAATCTAGCAAGATCTATCTAGGAGATGCATAGCAACAAGACGGGAGAGTGTGTCCACGTACCCTCGTAGACCGAAACCGAAAGCGTTTAGTAACGCGGTTGATGTAGTCGAACGTCTTCGCGATCCAACCGATCCAAGCACCGAACATATGGCACCTCCACGTTCAGCACACATTCAGCTCGATGACGTCCCTCGTGCTCTTGATCCAGTTGAGGACAAGGGTGAGTTCCGTCAGCACGACGGCATGGCGACGGTGATGATGATGTTACGGGCGCATGGCTTCACCTAAGCACTACGGCGATATGATCGAGGTATGTAACGGTGGATGTTGGGGATCGAAGCAGAAATTTAAAATTTTCTACGCATCACCAAGATCAATCTATGGAGTCATCTAGCAACAAGAGAGAGAGGAGTGCATCTACATACCCTTATAGATCGCGAGCGGAAGCGTTCAAGAAAACGGGTTGATGGAGTCGAACTCGTCATGATCCAAATCACCGATGATCCTAGCGCCGAACGGACGGCACCTCCGCGTTCTGTTGGAAATATGCCCTAGAGGCAATAATAAAAGTATTACTATATTTCATTGTTCATGATAATTGTCTTTTATTCATGCTATAACTGTATTATCCGGAAATCGTAATACACGTATGAATACATAGACCTCAATATGTCCCTAGTGAGCCTCTAGTTGACTAGCTCGTTGTGATCAACAGATAGTCATGATTTCCTGGCTATGGACATTGGATGTCGTTGATAACGGGATCACATCATTAGGAGAATGAAGTGATGGACAAGACCCAATCCTAAGCAT